GGGAACTTTGTTCTGGTCTAAGCAACGCTGGAAAAACTGAGCTAAAGATCCTGCCAGTTGGCTTGCTGCTGCTCCCAATGCCTTTGGACGAATGGTGTCGACACCCGGCGAGCTGTGTTTGTGCAGAGAAGACAGATTTTGCAATACAGCCTCCGCGGTAAATGTGATGTGGGTTAGTCCTGGCGAGCCGAAGACAAAGCTTGGTAGATCGCTTGGTGGCAAGACCCTTTGAAACATGGGGGCGCGTTGCGTCTGCAGCACGTTTGCTGCTTCCACAGCCGTTCTTGTTGGGCCATCAGCCGTCCTGAGTGGAAGAAATCCTTGCCTCACCTTTCGTAGGCTATTAACGTGCTTGTACAGCAGTTTGTGGTTAGCACTGAAGGTGTTTGCGATTTTCTGCTGATAGGCGGCTTTGTCTTCTCTTGATGGTTGAGTGAAGTGGTTACGTTGGGCTACGTAGTTGTCCCAAGTTTCTGGTGCTAGAGCTTCTCTGTACACTCGCCATGCTGCGTGGTGCACCGTCATCTATTTTCGAGTTCTGCTCCTAACGAAAGAAGCTGATTTGCACTTATTGCAAGCTTTTATCTCTGAAGCCTGTGCAATCAGCTGACTGAACATTTTGACGAACTCGAGCCAGGCGACTTCTGGGGGTTCTTCTTCGAGGAAAGACCAAGTTGTGGCGCTGACTAGCTGGGCGAGTCGGTCGTACCTTGTGATGGTTCGCACAGTCTCATCGTTATCAATCAGATATTCTGCATAGCAGATGAAGTGGAAACTGATGACTGCGTGATCACTGCGACCCAACGAGCAGTCTAAAGCCAACGTATCAATCATACGTTCCTCGTTGGTAAGCACTACATACAGCACAGATGGCGTGTTACCAGTTCTGAATCGTGTGGGCAAAGTGATGTGATTGTAAAGAGGAACAGTAGTTACTAGCTCTTGTAGATCTGTTTTGAATTATTCTTTGATCGTGGCGGGAGTTTCCAAACAAGGTACTTTGAAATCACCCATGATAAGAACGTGAGTGTACTTTTGTTGTAAACTGCACCTTAAAGCAGCCGCTAGGTGGCAGTCGGTTTCGGGTGTTGAGTTAGGGGCGCGGTACACCAAGACAACAAGGCAAGTGTCCCTGCCTTTTAACTGCAACCGGCACCAAAGAGAGTCGGGGAACTGTGAGTCTGAATCCTTCACGGCTTCGCACTGTAAGTCGTTTTGGTAATACAGGATTACCCCTCCTCCTTTTGTGAGCCTGTCGTTCCGGATCAGCGACATGCCCGGTAGCGAAAATTCAGCGTCCGTCATTCCCGTGTGCAACCATGTCTCGGTGATACCAATGACATCATACGACCCGGAAGCTTGGCGATCTTTCAGTTCAGCCAGTTTGTTAGAAAGACCCTGAGCATTTGTATACAAGCAGGCCAGTTTCTCAGGCTCTTGAAGCTCACAAAGGGGTGAAGCGGTCACGTGTGCGAGAATGCCGACCGATGGGAGGTCGGCAGTTACTCGTTTTTTGATGCGTCAATGATGCCTCGTTTGCAACTTGATACAGCCAAGGTGGGTCCTAACCTTTGTTTAGACTTACGTCAGAGTCAAGTAAAGCAGCAGTCAAGTTAGACTTCCGTGCATTCATCGGTATGCTAGCCGCTTCAGTTGCTCTAATATTTAAACTGTGCAAGGTGTTTGCGACCTTTAACCGAATTTCGGAAGGAAGATGTTTCCGATTTCTCAGTCATCAATCAAAAATATCCTTTGCTTGTTGCTCTGACTGAACCACAAGTTTTAGGATTCTAGGGCCGCATCCTCTATAATTTGGTGAGTGAGGTATCCTAGTGAGCGATAGTGCCACAACATTATCAAAAAAAGTGTTTCACGAATGAACCGCCACTGTGCTAATTTCATGCTTTCCGGTCTCTTGAACATCGTTAGAGGGATGTTCTGGCACACCATGTATGAAGATTGTGTTTAGGCGGTCTTGCTTGCTGTGCCCCTCTTCGGTGTTTCGTTTTGGTTTTCGCGCGCTCCAAGGGACATCAGGAGAGATACGTATCGCACAGGATTCGTGTTTTAGCGCACTTGCGGAGAGCAAAACGTTTTCTACGTCGGTGGAGGATTCTAGAGTTACTCGAATAAGTCTGGGTTCGCCATAGTGTGGCGAGTTCGGATGACGGGTAATTCGTAACAAGCTTATGAGCTTGGCTTTGATACTCATCTGCATACACAATGAGTTCCATTGGTCTTGGTCGTCTGATAACTTATCCCGCAATGTGATGGCGGTAGATTCAGGGACATTTGAGCATACAACAGTCCGGGCACTATTGTTGGATCCCTTTTTCGTTGGTCTACAAGGTATGGTACTCATTTGTCCTGACTTGTTGACAAGTGATTGTTTGCTGTTTTTCTCTCTATTCGTGTTACCGATGTTTGCAGTGGAAGAGGACGCAACGGCGGCCTCTCGGGGGACCCTTACAGCAATCTCTGCATATGTAACCGATGTTCTGGGAAGCTTAGTCTCGACAAGAGATATTTGAGCTACAGGTACCAAGGGTTGGTGTTTGGCTGCTTCATCCTTGTTAATGCTAGATGTCAGGTCTAGTAGAATTTGCTTAACCAGACGTTTTGAATGGTGCCTGATTTTCGTTGTCGTGAGTACTGTTTGATTCTCGTAGGTACAGTCTGTTTTCGCCCGGCGTTCTACCAAACTTGGAGAAGACAACGATGGAGAGGTGGCTGAGTGCGGTTCAGGGGAGGTGGATTGTTCAGCATTCCGTTGTTTAGAAGCCGCTTCGCTTCTGTGGTGCATACTCGCTTCCACTGAAGTAATCTTATTGTTTATCCTCTGCTCTGCTTCTGCAGTTAACCGGTCGCATTTCTCAGCTAGGATAAGCAAGCACTTAACGAGGGAGATGGTGGAACACGTAGTACAGAACCAAAATGCATCTTGGGAGCTATTTCGCTCCCGTAACTGTTGTTGGGACACATTTGCACATTTCGTATGGTACCATTCCAAACAGTGCGAACAAGCCAGACCGATTTTTACTACTCGATGACATTCTCCTAACCCGCAAATGCCTTTTGCTTGGAGTCTCTTCGGTTTCGCCTTTCTGCCATTCAATTTGGTGTCGTTACCTGACCCAGTGGGTTGGTTAGCGTTCTGTACTTTTACAGCTTTGAGAGCGGCGCACATCGGTCAGGCGAGTGTTTAGATCACCTGCAAGCACTGAATTATCGGTACCTTTTCTGTAACAGAGGAGCTCGTTCAGTTGGTGGTAGAAGTCATTTTTCACCGAGTCGGTGCTATAGTTTGTAGGCACGCAAGCTGCAAGTACAAATTGGCACCGTTTGTTCCCTTGCGACTTCGAAGCTTTGAACGAGGCAGCCAGTCTAACTGCACACGTCCAACTGTTGATATGGCTGTGATGGATCAGGGCAGATTCAGCTCGGTATTCAAAACAATACTCGCGCCGCTTTGACTGGCATTTTGGAGCTGCGTCATGTCTGGTCAAACACAATGAGAAACTGCCGCCAGTGTCGCATGTGGGGATCACAAGGTAATCACAGTCCTCGAATGTTGCAGCTGGGTTTCTGAAAAACAGTAGATATTGATCGATAGGGCTGCTAGTGTTCGGGTAACTGCTGTCTGTTAACCAATTTGTAACAAAGTGCCTACATTCAGGCATGTCAGTCTTAGTGAGGATCAAGAACTCCAATGAGAAACCGATGAACTAATATTGTCCGCTTGGCTGAACATTGACTTGGACTCGTTAACTCGACTGGAGCAAAAACCCTAAGATTGTGTGTGAGTGGAAAGCAATCTGGTATGAGTGAATCCGAAGGCTCACAATTGCTACCCATCATATCTTCTTGGATCTGTGAGGCACACAAACTATTGCATCACATTAAGATCCAATCTCATCGCGATTATGTCATCCTGTACCGGTCTAGGACTAAAGCACCGCCGTCTGTATATCTGTTGTGCGTGCAACCTCTGCTTGCATCTCATAGCTTTGGGTGTCAGTGGATTGCGGCCGGTTTTGACAGAATGATGATTCCATCTGCATACTGCCCGATGTTGTCATTTATGGTGCATACGGCAGCTGAATTGCGTGGTTTATTGTACACTACCGACGGTAAGAGATAGGTGTCCAAAAGCCGTTCGCACACACAATACTGGCAAGCCGCGGTATGAGTTTAATCAGTCATATCGGTGCAATTTAGTTGCAAATAATGCGGGAAAGTTAAATTTCTAGGCAGTATTTCTCATACAATTTAGGCAGCTGTTGATGAAAGGGAGGTGAGCTAAGGTGGAGACGGCTTCATTACACTTTTATTACTTGATGCGTTTGAGCCATACTTTGATACCCAAAACAGCACATTCATGTTCTTAGCGAATGAGAGCTTCTCCAGCAAATCTTATTCTCATGACGTCTGTTTAACACCCACAAACTTCCGATGCATTCCCTTTGTCGATGAGGACTACAGTAAACTCAGTACTCTTGTTTAAAGAAGGCAAAGGATCGTGGCCTCATCAGTTGACTTATCCGTACTGCGTACGACCCCATTTACTCATTCATTTCCGGCCTCTGGAGTTATTTGGTGTTTTTCAATTGCTGCGACCCTCTGTAATAAACTGGTGGTTAAACGATGCAGCAAACGCATTACATTTCATTCATTCGCAACATTACACTAAGTGCCTTTTAATGACTTTTGTTCATTTGTTCATATCCCATATGATTTCCCCACTTACTTTTCTTACGTAATTCCCCAAGTTGGAAATACTCCTTCTCGTACGACTTTGGGAAGGTAATGGAATACAACTGTGGATGTGAGCCTAGTCAGTGTGCCACTAGGAAATGCGATTACTTCAGCTTCCTGGTCAGCCCCACATCACTTGGCTTCTTTCCGGATAGCTGCGTCAAAACAAATAGGTTCAAAATGCTAGATGTTTATTTGTAATCGCAACACATTTAGTTAACGAAACAGTCGTAAAATTCGTTGCTTCAACTCCCGAATGTTACAACGCGTTGATCCATGGAACCGATTCCGACCAGTTTAATGCACTGTTCGGCCTCTCCGAGTATTCCTGAAATGACACATGTCGCGCTGAAGTGCCCTGTATACCTGAAAAGCAACACAGACAACATTTTGTGGCTCGTTTTAAGATGGATTATCACCAGCCTACTTTAGCCACAATTGAACTTCTATTTAGTCCTGTTTCCAACTCTCCACATGCTACCTACATACCTCCAGGAATTGGGTACAAGTGGTGCCCTCTGTGGTCTTCGTTAAAAACACAAAATCCCGATGTTGTTTCATTGCTGTTATAAATGACACCACGAGGACACGACACATTCAGTGAACTGTTTGTAAACTTGTCGTCTACAACTGCGGGAGTTAGGGGCTCAATCTAGAGACTGAATTCGATACTCATTGGTTGTTAGTTCTCTGTCAATTGCAAGCGACTGATCAATGAGCCAAACACGCGCCCCGATCTATTCTTTGGCACTAGTAATCTACTTTTACTGCAAAACTAGACGTCTTTGTCGTAGTAAAAGACTAGGCAATTGTTCCTCCCTGTAAATCTATTGCGTATCACGTCTTGTCTCCTTTTATCATGTGTGGGCTCTGGCCCTCGAATCTGTGTATGCCAATGTATTTTGTTCAACTTGCTAGGCCCCAAAATGGAGAAAGCTTAAAGAAGGGCTTGGTATTCCCACCAAAGCAGTGAACGTCGTTTGCAAGACAAAAGGGAAATAAACCACTAAACACCTGGAAGTATAGTTTTAGTTGAAGAGCGCAACAAAATCGGCACACGCATCCTACAGATGGGGTATGAGTAAAGACCCACAAAGACAAACTGCGAAATAAGGTGAAGTAGGTGCTGCAGTTTTCCAAATCCACTAAATTTGGTTCCCTACACCATCTGTACTTCCTTTTACTTTCTCGTCGTCCACTTAGTTCATTCAATTGACTGGATTAGTATTCACACATTTGTGGAACTTGGTGGTGGCATGTCATCGACAACGCTACTCTGGAGAAGATGAGCCTACATATCTACCAATGTGCTCAAATTGGCATTGCTCTAAAACTGGTAACCAGATAATTGCCCTCAAGCTCCTTTCCAAATTACTGGTTCAATTTACTGTTCAGTGCTTCATGTGTTTGCCCAGTTTAGCAATCGGTTCGCACATGTGTGGTCAATAATCTTGGTGTCATCATCGGTACTCCCCTGTGTAACCTCACTGATTCGGTCGTCGGTCCGCGACGGATGGGGTGACAAGTTCTGCATTAACCTCTTCGAATCGTGTCTTGTGATCATCGTCCGTTTGCTTGAAGTCTGCGGCAGACTTTAGCTGCTACAATTATTCGCATGGGTAGTACTGTAAGATAGGATGATTGGAATGGCTTCTACATGTTCTCGATGTGTTTGATCTGTGAAAAGGTTTCCGTCGACGCCTGCCTTGAACAAGAACGGAAATTTCTCGAGACGCAGGTACGATTCGCATGCAGACTCATTGAGTTGCCGTTGGTTTGTGGATTAAAATTTGAGGCCTTCTCCAATGAAGTTCTCCGTCGCATGAGAGCAAAAACAGTGCGCAGTCTGCAAGGTTCTCTTGCTAAATCTATCAATAATTCCTTTCCTACTGATTGCTTGAAGCACGTATACACTTTGTCCTCTGTTCTGTTCACACACACTTAATTGGAATTTCTCTCGCTTGGAATAAAATACCGACTGCCGCCAAATCCCTAGACAAGCTCACCACGCAGGCGTATTTTGATCATTTGAATGAACAGCTCAGTGACCTCACACCAAGATCGACGGAAGATGCGGGTTGGTTTCGGGCAAAATTGGTAGATATTGCGAACCAATTCCTGTGTAGACCGATAAGTCAGAGGTGCTGTCTGCAATCTGAACACTAGACGGCGATCAAGGAGTTGAAACAAATGCAGCACGTAATGTTCCTGCAGCCGGATAAAGGAACGGACATTGTAGTAATGAACAGGCTTGACTACATTTCGAAGATGGAGTCCATTCTGGGAGACATGCGGAAGTCCCAGCTAGATAATGCACAGGAAAACAACATCCTGGTGGAAAAGCGTGTAGCAAGGAAGCTCCGGATCCTCCTGCTACATGGTTATATCAGTGAGTCGCAGTACAAGCACTGAAAACCGACTGGGACAGACACCTAGAATAAGAGGCGCTCCCAAGTTACACAAAGCAAGATTCACGCCACGTCCGATTATGTGCATGAACAATTCATCTTATCACAATGTCGCGCGGTGGCTGGCTAAACTATTAGATCCGGTGCGTAAACTCCTCGCTAAGTATTGCCTGAAAGACTCCTTTGAACTGGCTGAGACGCTGGAACAATTGTCACTGAGTGCAGAGCTTATGTACTCAATAGATGTGGACTCCTTATTCACAAACGTGTCTTTATGTGCGACGGTTGATAATTTATGTGTTTTTATCTTGAGTCAGAATATGTCTGTTGGCCTGCCAGTGGCGTGTTTAAAAGCTATGATTCTATTGTGCACCGAGAACATACGGTTTGAATTTTAGGGGACCGCATACAAACAGGTCGACGGGGACGCTATGTGCAGCTCTCTGGAACCAATTTTAGCCACATCTTCCTCGACTTAATAGAAAGGAAAGTTGCGGTCAGCATTGGTGAGGCGAAATTGTACAGATGATATGTGGATGACACTTCAGTCTTCATCAGCATAGAATATTTTACCCGGCTGCTGACCATCTTGAATTCGACTCCCCCTAATCTCTCGGTATCCATGAAGTCGGACAACACAAATGTCTGGCATTTTTGGATATACACATTAAGAGACGGGCTGAAGGTACGTTGCAGCGCACTGTTCACCTCAAATCGATTTGGACTGGACAGTACCTTCATTTTTCAAGCTTCGCCCCGATCGCATACAAACGCGGCTTAGTGAAAACTCTCCTCTACCGGGCTAGACGTATTTCCGGCCCCGAAAGGTTACAAGCCGAAGAAGAAATTTTACGCAAGTCCTTAGTTTCTAATGAATATCCTAAGAAGTTTATTCAAGTACACAGCAAACCTCCTAGAGTAAAACACCGGTGTTGACTGCTGAGCAAAAGGAAGTTTATTTGTTCTTGCCGTTCAAGGGCGACCATGTGGCAAATGATATCGGACGCAAGCTCCGGTCCGCCCTAACGAGAACCTACACGACAGCCCAGTTGCGACTCAGGCATACCACGCTAGGACTTGTTCTTCATAACCGTCAGAGCATCTCGTCGGGTAGTTCGGCCTCTCACGTTGTTTATTAGTTCATCCGCGGTTGCGGTGACATTTATATAGGCAGAACAAACCGTCAGTTTGCTCAGAGAGTAGCTGAACATTTGCCAAAGTGGTTGGGACAAGTGATTACGCAACAAAATGGGACGAATCTGAGAATAAATCGGAGACCAGCATCGTCTATCACCAAGCACCTCATGACAACCCTTTATCACGTGAAGCCCGAGACAGCGTTCAAAGTGTTATTACGTAACAAAAACCCGATAATGCTGGCAATTAGTGAGGCGTTGTTAATTAAGGCCTATCAACCAGTGCTATGTGCACAGAAACCCTTGAGGCAATCGATTCGGTTGCCACGGTCTTGACTGTGACGTTTTGATTGGTGGTGCTTATCTTTTCCACGTATATAATCCTTTGTGTGTTTCTGCTCGTAATGCGTTGGCGACTGAAGAGAACAATCGAAATATTGACATATCGCAACCTCTGTCTTCGCTCTGCCTTAACGAATAGGTCTGATAGACGGTGTGTACAGGGCCACCGTGAGGGTCATCCCATTCCATGTGAAGGAGATTTGGACCTTGCGATCTGAGGATCTGCGACGCCTTCAACTCTTAGATCGCCATTGTCTACGGAGCATTGCTGGGTTTGGACTCACCAGTGTGTCCGACACGCGGATTTGCTTAGGCGAGGGCTAGGCATTGACAATCAAACTAGGTCCTTATAACAACAAATAGCATCGCATAGGGAGTGTTTACTTTTGCATGTACCAAAAATATCTGGTCGCCGCTTACCAAGAAGGGCGTTGCTTTGTTCACAGGATGTAGGGTGTTACAAAGCTCGAGATGAACAAAAGTTGACTTTGCAGCTGGAACTGAGGGCACTGAAGACTAAACTGCGTGTTGTTGGCAAATCCCAAGTTCCAGGCTGGAGTACACATGGCATGTCCTGTGCTTTCCTTGAGACGTTACAGGACCTAGCTCCCAGTCGACACCAGTATCGTGTCAGTTGTCGTTTCGTAATCATACTGCCAGTTTAAAGTGCGTTTGGTGCTTAGTTATCTGCGGGAGAATGACTGACTGTGCTGTGGGGTAATGAAAACCGCAAGGAAATTGCCTTGTTTATTTTATATAATGTAATGAGAAGACGGATATTGCAAGTTAATGTCAGTTCGTACACTCTGCTAACTTTCAATCGAGCAACATAATAAACGTTCACTGAGGGAAAGTCAATAGTTTGAATTTCAAAACAGGCATTCCCATTTGTGATTCCAAACATTAAATTCAGGAGACGTAGATTGTGGGACGATGCTGTCCTTAGGTGCATTCTTGTCAATTACAAAAACATGCAACCACGGAACATAAAAAATGGTAATCACAGCTAGCAAAAGGCATGGGCTACCACAATAGTCTTAAAGCCATTGTCAGCTGCTTCTGAATGCACAGCGGTGGTCGCCCGCGATCAATAACGATAGGCTACAATAGCCTAAGGATTTGGGGCCGATGATCGCGCATTAGGACTGTGAACGACTCACCAGGATTGACTCAGTGGCCACTAGTCAGCAAGATCCTGGTTACTACTGAGGTAGCTCGGTTTCCAGAGTCAACTGATTCCGTCGTCACAGAGCCCATGCGACTGCGTAACCACTTTGGGATGTGTTCATTGATTCTGACACATAGAATGCGCTCAGTGCGCCCGAGGTAGCTATTTCCACAGCTGCAGGTAAATTTGTGTAGACAGTGGGACATGCAGTGCTTTGTCATCGGGGTCTTAATAGAACAAATTAACTAAGGTCTAGTTGAGATGAGCAGCTGCAATTCCGTTGTGTTGCACGCTCTTTTCAGTGAGGCACTT